AAAAAAAAAAAAAAAAATTAGCTGGGCCTGGTGGCACATGCCCTATAATCCCAGCTACTCAGGAGGCTGAGACAGGAGAATTGCTTGAACCCAGGAGGCAGAGGTTGCAGTCAGCTGAGATCGCCCCACTGCACTCTAGCTTATGCGACAAAGTGAGACTCCATCTCAAAATAAATAAATAAATAACAACGAAGAAAAAAAGAGAGTTCTTTTTATGTTCTGGCTACAAGTCTTTTATCAGATATATGTTTTGCAAGGATCATCTGGCAATCTGTCTGCTTGTTTTTTCAATCTCTTATCAGTGTCTTTAGCAAAAAGCTTTGCCTAACCCAAAGTCACAAAGATTTTCTCCTGTTTTCCCCTAGGAGTCTTAGTTTTATGTTTTACATTTTGGTCTGTGATCTATTTTGAGTGAATTTTGTGATAAGGTGCAAGGTATAGGTTCATTATTTTTGCACACAGATGTCCAGTTATTCTAGCATCATCTGTTGGATGTTTGCAGTTATTATTAACACTGTCCATATTCTCAAGGCTCCTGGGCTCAGGGGTCAGCAACCGTACCTCTGGCCCCAACTGTGCAGTTCAGTCGCCTGGCCCATATGCCCCTCAAACCTAACAGCTGGGGCCTGTTGCAGTTCTTTGCTTGCAAAAGACTTTGTTTCTGGTCTCTTTACCTCTTCTCTCTCTTCCTGAAATCTGCATAAAACAAACCATGAAAGGGCAGGGTGGCCTCGTGGTCTGGCAACGTCCCTTTGAAAATAAACAAGTGCAGAAACTGAAAGGCAGCAGTTACCTCTGGGGACTACTCGAGAAAGAGTTCAGGGCCGGTGCATCCGCTGCGCGTGGCTGTCTTGCCCCGGCTGGGCGGCAGGTCGGATGTGGTAAAACCAAACAGGATCCCGATTGCTTTAGATGTCGCCTCTGGCCAGAGACCCCCGATGCCTCTGCAGCAAGCACCTAATTGTATGTATGGGGTGCAGGCAGAAGAGTTTCATGACTGAACAGCCCTCAACAGTTTGTACAGCCTTCCTCAAAGGTCCAGATTTAACTGGTTCCCACACAACCCTGGGAGGTGGGCAGGTCAGGGACAGTTACCATTATCTTACACATAAGAAAACTGAGGCACAGAAGGGTGAAGAAATAGATGGATGTGGGTTTGGAAATTTTTTTTTTTTTTTTTTTTTTGAGGCAGAATCTCATTTCATCACCCAGGCTGGAGTGCAGTGACGCAATCTCGGCTCACTGCAACCTCCATCTCCCGGGTTCAAGTGATTCTCCTGCCTCGGCCTCCTGAGTAGCTGGGATTATAGATGCACACCACCATGCCTGGCCCTAACATTTTTTTTTTTTTTTTTCTGAGACAGAGTCTCGCTCTGTTGGCCCAGGCTGGAGTGCAGTGGCGCAATCTCAGCTAACTGCAACCTCCACCTCCCAAGTTCAAGCAATTCACCTGCCTCAGCCTCCCGATAGCTGGGATCACAGGCGCCCACCAGCACTTCTGGCTAATTTTTGTATTTTTAGTAGAGACGGGGTTTCATCATGTTGGCCAGGCTGGTCTCGAAGTCCTGACCTCAGATGATCCACCCACCTTGGCCTCCCAAAGTGCTGGGATTACAGGTGTACCATGCCCAGCCACTTGGCTAACTTCTGTAATTTTGGTAGGGACAGAGTTTCACCATGTTGCCCAGGCTTTAGCAAAAAGCTTTGCCTAACCCCAAAGTCACAAAGATTTTGTCAGGCCATTTTTTTGTTTGTATGTTTTGTTTTGTTTGAGATAAGGTCTTGCTCTGTTGCCCAGGCTGGAGTGCAGTGGCCGGATCTCAGCTCACTGCAAGCCCTGCCTCCCGGGTTCACGCCATTCTCCTGCCTCAGCCTCCCGAGTAGCTGGGAGTACAGGCGCCCGCCACGTCGCCCGGCTAATTTTTTTTGTATTTTAGTAGAGATGGGGTTTCACCATGTTAGCCAGGATGGTCTCGATCTCCTGAACTCGTGATCCGCCCGTCTCGGCCTCCCAAAGTGCTGGGATTACAGGCTTGAGCCACCGCGCCCGGCCGGCTAATTTTTAAATTTTTTGTAGAGATGGGGTTTGGCTATGTTGCCCAGGCTGGTCTTGAAATCCTGGCCTCAAGCCATCCTCCAGAATTCATAATTCTCTCTGCCACCCTGGCTGGAAATATCTCAAATGTCCAAAGAATGGATAAGCACATTGTAGTACACTCATCCCATGGAATATTCTCCAGCAATGAGAATGAATGACATACAATCTCACACAGTAGTATTGAATCTCACAAATACCATGTTGAATGAAAGAAGCTAGACACACAAGAGCATATATTACATCATTCTGTGTATGTAAAGCTAAAAAATAAGCCAAATAAATCAGTGCAGGTAGAAGTCAGGGTATCGGCCACACTTAGAGGGGTAGTGACTACACAGGGATAGGAAGGGGACTCGGGATTAGTGATATTGTTTATTGATCCAGATGCAAGTCACGCAGGTGTGTTCAGTAGGTGAAAAATCATTGAGCTATACCCTTACATGTTGATTAAATATTCAGGACTGGGCACAGTGGCTCAGGCCTGTAATCCCTGTAAATACAGAGGCCAAGGTAGGAGGATCACTTGAAGCCAGGAGTTCAAGACCAGCCTGAGCAACATGGTAAAATCCAGTCTCTACAAAAAATAAAAAATAAAAATAAATAGCCACGCATGGCAGCATGCACCTGTGTGGTTCCAGCTACGTGGGACCCTCACTCACGGCCTCACTCTGTCATCCAGGCTGGAGTGCAGTGGCGCCATCAGGGTTCACTGCAACCTTGACCTCCCAGGCTCAAGTGATTCTCCCACTCAGCCTTTCAAGTTAGCTGGGACCACAGGCCAATTTATGGGCTTACTGGGAAGTAACCCATTGTAAATTGAAGAGCATCTGTATTCAACTCTGTTGTTGTATGGTGAAAGCAGCCAGGAACAATATGTAAATGAACGAGCATGGTTTGTTCCAATAAAACTTTATTTTTAAAAAATCAGGTGGACTGGGTGCAGTGGCTCAGGCCTGTAATCCCAGCACTTTGGGAGGCCAAGGCAGGCGGATCACCTGAGGTCAGGAGTTCGAGATCAGCCTGGCCAACATGGTGAAACCCCATCTCTACTAAAGATACAAAAATTAGCTGGGCGTGGTGGCAGGCACCTGTAATCCCAGCTACTTGGGAGGCTGAGGCAGAAGAATTGCTTGAACCCCGGAGGTGGAGGTTGCAGTGAGCCGAGATCGTGCCATTGCACTTCAGCTTGGGTGACAAGAGCTAGACTTCGTCTCAAAAAATAAATAAATTAATTAATTAATTAATTAAGTAAAATAAAATTAAAAAAACAGGTAGTCAGCCAGATTTGCTGATTCCTGGTCTGCTGGAAGATAGGCTGGGTTCTGAAGCCTCCTTCACTGAGTCTCTGCAGGACCCTGTCCAAGTCGCTTCCCTGGTCTGAGTTATCCTTTCTGTAAATCGGGAGGCTGATTCCCTGCTCTAAACCACCCTTTGGGGTTGCCAAGAGATCAGATGAGCTCATCACAGAGGGAGCCCAGAGGGAGAAAAGAGCAGGATTAAGAGCCTCTTAAGGTTCTCTGATGCAGAGCAGATTGCTTTTTCTGCCTAGGTCTGGAGAGAGAAAGCCATTGACCTCAAGTCGCCCTGTGCATCCATGGGTACCAGTGTCCCAGGGGCATCCCAGAGACAGGACCCACAGGCTTGGCAGCAGATCCTGGTCCTTGCCATCCCGAGGCCTCTCCCCAACCCCACCTGTGGAAAGAGAACAACAGTGAAAGAGAGACTGGAAAAATGAGTCTCTAATTGGCTGTTCCTTTGAGCCCCCGGCCAGAAGCTATTTGGGTCTGCTTTAATGACTGAGCAGCCAGTGCCCAGGGCAGGGACGTGTTGTCTGACCTCTAGCCCTCTGCTCAGTCAGGCACGTCTCTCCTTCCTGTTCCCGGGTGGGCGCATCCCACAAAGCCTGACTCAGGCTGTGCCGCATCTGGGGCATGCTGTGCGGATGACTCCAGTGTCAATCACTTGGGGAAGAGGTGGGTCTTCAGAGAGCAAAGTGTAACTGAGGGCAAACCCAAGGCAACCAGGGGAGGGCCATTCTTCCCTTCCCTGTGCCTCCTGCTCTCGGAACTGGTCTTCTGAAGATAGAGGTGCGTGAGGATAATAACGATAAAATAGCAGCTATCATTTGAGATTCACCATGTGCCAGGGTCTGCTTTGAGCGCTTTACACGTATTCACTTAATCCTCACAACAACCCTGTAGGCACCATTATTCTTCTATTATACAAATGACGAAACAGCGACCCAGAAAGGTTAAGATACTTGCCTGAGGTCACACGGCTAGGCAGTGGTGGAGCTCCCCGTGTTGAGGACTACAGAAGGGGATGCCTCGTTGGTCCAAAACAGGTCCATATGGAGGAGTGGGGGCTCACGTGGGGTAAGACCCAGTGAAAACTTGCCTAAACAATCAAGGGCATTTATTGGCTCACAAAATTGAGACGTTCCGAGGATTGTGCTGGCTTCAGGGCCGGCTGGGGCCTAGGCTCAAATGCTGCCCTTAGAAAGCACACACTCACTGTCTTTCAGCCCTTTCCTGCGATGGTTTCATTCTCAGGCTGATTCCTCCGCACGTGGAAGGAAAGATGGCTGCAGGCACTCCGTTTGAGCAACTCCAGATGTTCCAGCAGAATTCTTTCCCACCAGTTTCCACTCAGGGATGACTCTCATTGGGCCACTATGGGCCACGTGCTCGTCTCTGAGCCAATTGTGGTAGCCAGGAGGCGGGACCATGGTGATTGGCTAGGACTGGCTCATATGACCATCCTGGGAGCGGTGCCCGCCCCACTTAAGGACCGGGGGACGGAGGGCGACCCCTATGGGAAGAAGAGGGAAACAGAACTGGATAGACAAGGTCAATGGATGTCTAATCTGAGGCTCTGGAGGAAACATACCTTCTTCACCCAGAGGAGTGAAAGAGAGAAGCTGGACTTGGCCCTTAGGGTCTGCAATCCATCCTCGGCCCCACCAGGGACCTCTGTGACACTTGTTGCCATGGCATGGACTGGAGCTTGGACCTGAGCCTTCTCTGCCTACCTCCCCCAGCTGACCCCTTCCCCACCCCACTTCCCTGCCTACTGACCGCCTTCGCATTCCCTGGGGGCACATAGGCCATGTTGCCAACTGCTGGCCCCTGCTTGGCCTATTGTTCCAGTTCCCTAGTTGCCCAGCTCCCACCTCCAGTCTGGTCTTTTCCAATCCATGCTATTCATTGGCAACACCATCCCCAGTCCAGCAGAACCTTGGCTCAGAAACCTCCAGCCACTCCTTTGTGTCAAAAACGAAAAACAAGCTGCTTATCCCCAGGCCTGGTATTCCTCCAGTGTCCTAGGAGATTCCCTGACCCTTGCCATCAGAATGTCTGTATCCCCTAATTCCAAACTGTCGTCGGCATCGGAAAGCACTGGGGCTCACTTACCTGCCTGGGGGTTAAGTGTCAAGTTTGAGTCATTGCTGCCTAGGGCCCAGCACAGCTCAATCAATGCCTGCAAAGCTACATTTGTAGCTCCTGGGCATGAGACTGCTCCTTGATGAAGGGAGGTGGGAGAGGAAGTTAGGGCACTCCAGTGAGAGACACAGAGGAAGTTCCGCAGAATGACTGAGAGACAGTGATCTAGGCGGGTGGAGACAAGGGAGGCAGGGGGAAAAGGCAGAAGCCTTAGAGAAAGGAGGGAGGGATGCCGATCCAGAGAGCGAGAGCTGGGAACAGACACGCAGAGAGGGCAGAAAGGAAGCGCGGGAACGTGTGCCAGCTCAGGCATTTTTTTTTCCCTTAAGCAAACAAGGCCTCTATGATTTGTGTTTTGTCAAGCTGAACTTTCCATATCAGGAGTTTATTTAGCTGAGCAGCCAATTCTGGTAAAAACACTGGAACATGTTAAAAAGGAACGGGTAGGAAGGAGAGTCAGACAGAACAAACAGGAGAGAGCATCTGCCTGTAGCCGATCCACGCAGTGCAGCTTGGCCTAGACCCGCTGACACAATACCCCCACCCCTGCCAGCTCTCTTTAGGGGCTAGCCCAGGGCCAGGAGAGGCTGGACACAGGTGGGGAAGTCAGCTTGGGGGAAGCAGTTTGGGCCGAAAGGGTCATGGCCCTGGGAAAGGTCCAGTTCCAGCCCGACCATGTAAGTCACTAGAGGCCATTAAGACAAGTCAAGCCGAGGTTGCAGTCCACCCATGCACTAACGCCCCTGAGTCCCTGCCACAATCCAGAGCCCCCTCAGAGACAGGGAAGCCAAAAACATGTCCCTGCTGGAACCCAGGCCTTGGGGTAGACAGATCAGGTGTGGCTTTTTTTTTTTTTTTTTTTT